TTCCTGCAACTTCCATGCAGAGCCTTCTGTGATGGGAGTTGTGTCTGCATCCTGGTACTTAATAGGCTCAGTTGGAGCTTCCTCCCTGAATGTGCCTAAGGGATTTTCCACTAAATTTTCCACATACAAAGCCATACTATCACTGTGAGTTAGGGTATTACTTTATTTCTTTTAAACCTGTTGGCTAATAATTCATTTTGGTTCGATCTATGCCTTATGTCAGGAAAAATAGTGAGCAGTCATTCTCTATTCCAGACTTTATATTCTCTTCCACAGTACCTCAATCTTACATCTTCCAAGCTACAAAAACTTAATCACTCCCTGTATGCAACCATTCAGTACCTCTAATCAACACAGGTTTTATTCTTTGTGCCCTTCTGTATATCTACTGTATATCTACTTTTTTAAGGCAGGGAATGGCATATTAGTCAAGGTATGGGCACAACAACGTTTTCTGTTCTGTTTGCTGTTCTAACCTTAGATATGGTACAATGCTTGATGAATATCTGACATACATTTGAGTAGGTTACTGTTAGACTTTCTGGCGATATATGGCTGGTGTAATCTCATGCTAAATGTTGTGTTTGCCACAGAATAGGTAATGTGGTTATTCAAAATAACTTTCAGTTACTACCTAGGAAAAACAAAGTGTGTTATGCACTAGATTACTGTAGATTACATAGACATCTTTGAATAAGGCAATTCCACAAGCTTGTACTCTCTAAAACATGATTTGTTTTTGGAGCTACAGGCATATACGTGGGCATATATTTGCACACCACTGCTTTGCTTTGTTTCCAATGCTAAAGGTAATCCTGAAATGGAAAGCTGCCTCAGGGTCATCTCTTCTTTAGCTTGTGTTATTAGCTGCAACTGTGAAATGGTGTGCAGTTAGCAAAAACGATAAGCTTTTTTAATTGCGGTTCCTATCTGATTGCTTGGAGATTCTAGAAAGATGTTGGCCACATGACAGCAGGAGGAATTGGTAGAGTGATGGGGTTGCACCCTCTTAGAGATCTTCAGGACCAAAAATGGGGAGTAATAATTCACAGTAAGAGTTGATGCTGTGAAAAGAAGTGTACGTACTCTGGAGATACACAATGGTCTATTGTAATGGCTGATGCAAGTTTTGTTCATTCTTCCTCCAGCAGTTCTTCAGGTCTTTCATACACAATGGTTAAGGATTCCAGCAGTTAAAAGACCTGTGAATCACACTTGGTCCTGGAATAAGGCAGAGTCTTTGTAACCTTTTAGTTCAGATATGCTTTTGCTCACTGTGTGATAGATTGGTCTCTCTCATTATGTAAATTACCCATGTTCAATTGCAAACATCCCAAGTATTATGTGTTCTATTAAGATACGACTTTTCTTGCCAAACATGTGCATTAAGGAATGCCCCAAATCACTACACTTCTCTGTCAGTGTAGATTTGTTACTCAAAGTGAACCATTATTATACAGCAGTACACCCAATGCATTTTAGTGTTCTTTCAATTGGACAAATAGGAATGTTACCAAGCCTTTGAAATATTCATAGTAAACATATAAACTGCCATGCTAGTACTCATAAATTCATGTTTCAATTTATGTGCATTTCTAAAACTGCAAAGAGAAACTCCTTGTCAAAGTATCCCTTTCCCAAAAGCAAACAAGTTTGATTTTCCAGAACTGTGCAGAAGATAATTGCACCAGCGTCTTTGATGACGAAGGCTGTAGGTGGCAAGTCTGGGAAGAGATTTTGAAGTAAGAACATCTCTTCTAGGATGATTTTTCTATGTCTGTCTTTCTCATATGCAATAATTCATTAATATTTATATATATTAATATTTATAATGTTTCTGAGACATAGATGAACTGGTAAGATTAACCGAAATTACCTGATCATCTTCCTCCTGACTTGCTTTCAGTGGTATCAGTGGTAGTGCTTGATAGATGTTTGATCTCTGTACTTCATTATACAAAAGAAATGTGAAGCATTCACTCCTCAAGCTTTTGAATCCTGTATCTGGTAGCAGATAGATTAGAAGAAATGGAAAAAAGTGTGTTTTCCTGGCTAGAGAGACCTGCCTGGAACTTGTCCAATAATCTGCCAGTTCATAATTATTGCAAGATTTTGTATGTTGCTACTTTGAACAGTTTGTGATACAGAACTTTTAAGTTATTGCATAGTGTTTGTGATTGCTTTTGTTCAAGGGTAATATTCAGTGAGTTTCAGTAAGTTCAGTGGCTTATAAAAATGATGGCTGTCTCAGCTGCTGAGAGTTCTAAATTAAGTAATGATTTGAAAGTGAAATTCACTGTGGCAATGAATTCTCATTTTATTTCCAGGGTACTGTTCTTTAAGGTTATATTGAGGGAATTGATTTCATAGAGGGTACTTCCTCTTAATAATTTTATTTTGTTTCTAAATGAAATTATTCTAAATTATTGTTTATTTCTAGTGTCCATTCAAAAGCGTTGTAGAACAGATTCACTATAAATGTTTACTTTTTGTATCTTTTCCCATTTAAGTAGCTATGTTAGTAGTAGTAGTTACTGTCATATACTTCTGCATTCATTCAAAGAACTTTGGAGCAATTTAGCAGTTTGCAGCTTTCTTTAGATCTTAAGTGGTTATATTTATTAAATAGCTCTTGGACACTGAATGAAACAAAAAAGGTTTCTATAACCGACAAACTTGATCTTCATGATAAGGTATTGGCATCAGCTTGAACTAACTGACAAACTTTCTTAAATCTATTTACATTAAATATTGTTGGCATTCTTTTACTAACAATGAAGCTATTAAAGCAAAAATTTTATCATAAAAATGTTTGTGTTTTTTAAATGTGGCTAAATCCACTGTCCCAGCATACATAATAGTCATCTGATGGAAGGGTATGTTTTAACCTGTTTACAAAGTTAAGAGCAAGAAGTCTTCATAACATGTATGGCATGTTGTTTTTAAAATAGAGATATGATTATGTAGATTAGAATCAAAGCTTAGCTACGCTATATCCGGTAAGTATAACTATAAAGAAAATTATATTCCTTACTCAGTTTATTAGGACTGAAAGTTTTTGCAGTTCAGTTCCTAGTTGCTCCTGGGATTAGGGGAAACTGTTCGGTACACTATGTTCTCCGTTATTAATCAGTAATGAAGCTTCTGGCAGTCTTTACTATTTAGCTAATGACTGGTTTCATTTTGGGCTCTTAACACATTAAATTACCATTTAAATAAAGATTAATTACTGCTATTTTATTTTTAGTATTTTAAGAGTAGTTATTAAAAAGTTTCATAATAAATACTACTTTGTTCAAAATAGAATTGTTTGATTTAATAGAATATGAGGACAGTTATGATGAAAAAAGTATTTTGGAAATAGTGGTGTGTTCTTAGTATTTAGTTTCTGTGGTGGGATCCCAGTGGAAAGATTCTGAAAGTTTTAAGTTTGCTTCTGGGGACTTTGCTGCTGTAGTTACAGTAGTCTTGCTGCACGGACTAGCAAGGAATTGAGCTCTC